TTTAGTTTACGTGGTTAAGTTTTATTTTTGGTCGCCGGATAGGTTTTTAGGAAATGTTTGTTGGGCAGCGGCCACCTTTGCATCTACACACATAGATACACGAGCGTTTATTAATTCATTTCATTTGATAAAATGTGTCGTTTAATCTGTCCGGCGAATTCATTCCCTCAGGACTCCAGATGTCTCATTTACACTCATTACCGGCCTGATCCGTGTGTTATTTTGCTGTAAATCCCCCGTTTGCTGAAAATATCCACTGACAGTCAAGCCAACAGCTGCTTAGCTAGCGAAGCTAAGTCTAAATTTCTGCAAGTCTTTATAAGATGGTCTCTTCAAGGCTACAATGATTGAAAATTGAGCGGTAAAATTGAGCGGCGTTCCGTTAAATGAGGTAAAATCGAGAGCATGGATGAGTTAACGTTAGAGGTTTATTTGCAGTAAAGCATCCTTGCGTTAGCAGATAGCTTCCCATCCTCCTCCTCCTCATCAGGCTAGTGCTGCTGGAGCTCGCTGACACATGATGTTCTCACGATCCTCTGAAGGGGAAAATGACTTCTTTCCATTATATCCCGACCGGGCTGTTGGGAAAACGCCGATAACCCACCGCAGAAAGCAAGCGGAGGCCTAATTTCCATCCAGGTTCATGTGAAAAATGCATCAGATGCAGGCTTGGCTTGGCTGTGCCGACACGCTCCTCATGCGCCTTAATTCGGTATGGAGGTTGAATGCAACTCATCTGACATCAAACAGCAGCATGTACAGAATATATAAACTCAACTGAGATCAGATAATGTCGCTTGATCAATTTAGAAACTTACCTGAAATCAGACTGCATCATGGCCACAATTTACAAACGCAAAAGCATCATGTGCACAATACTTAGGCCACCAATCAAACTTATCAAAGACCAAATCAGAAAAAAAGAAACACATCTGAGATCAGATAACATCAGAAAGATGTGGTAAATTCACAAATCCTTCTGAGATCAGACAGCATCATATACAGCAGAATTTATAAACTACGCTGAGATCAGATAGCATCACATGTTGAATCCATAGATGTCTGAAATTTAGACTGCGTAAGACCACAATTTATAAACTCATCTGAGATCGGACAACACATTGAGCTGAATTTATAAACTCATCTGAGATCGGACAACACATTGAGCTGAATTTATAAACTCATCTGAGATCGGACAACACATTGAGCTGAATTTATAAACTCATCTGAGATCAGACAACACATTGAGCTGAATTTATAAATTCATCTGAGATCAGACAGCATCATGCAGAATTTTAAACTTAACTGAGGTCAGACAGCATCAGAAACAGATATTTATCTGACATTTAAATAACATCAGACAGGATTTATATACACTCATCTGAGATCAGACAGCATTGGGTTCTGAATGTATATAAGATCAGACAGAATCAGCATGGCATGTTGCTGATTTTATAAACTCATTTGGCTTTAGATGGCATCAGGTTGGGATTTACTTAATTCAGAAACCCTTCCGAGATCAGACAGCATATACAGAATTTACAAACTCATCTGAGATCATATAGCATTGTGTTCGTTATTTGAAACCAGGTGGCATCATGACCACAATTTATAAACTCATTTGAGATCAGACAGCATCTTCAGCTGAATTTATAAACTTGCCTGAGATGAGCCAGCATCATGCACTAGAATTTGTAAATTGATCTGAGATCAGACAGCATCAGAAACAGAATTGATCCGAGATCAGACAGCATCAGAAACAGAATTGATCTGAGATCAATTAACATAAGACAGACGTGAGATCAGACAGGATCATGTGCTAAATTTATAAACTCATCTGAGATCAGATGGCATTGTGTCTTGAATATTGTGTCTTAAATAATGGGGTTCTGCAGGGTAGCGTACTTGGTCCGCTATTGTTTTTATTATACCTATATAAACGATATTCAGGCTGCATGTGAGGGAAATATGTTTTTATATGCTGATGATGCTGCTCTTTTAGTTGCAGATATGGAGACTGAACGAATTTAGGAGGAATTAGGTGAGGAGCTGGTTAAGGTGAAGGAACGACTAACTGAAAATAAGCTTTTATTACGTCTATCAGTATCCATTCTCTCTTTGGGTCAAATTATAAATTGCGTAAGGCAAAGGACTTAGCAATCAAAGTTGATGGTTATGTCCAAGCAAAAAGAACATCGGTTTATTATCTTGGCTGTGTTTTAGATAATAATTTAAGTGGAGTAAATATGGTTTGGAAAGTGTTGCGGAAAGTACATGCTACAATCAAAAAAATTGCAAGATATACTAGTTTTTTAGATCATGAAAGTTTAAGGGTGCTTGCTATAAGATGCGTTCAATGTCATTTTGAGTATGCGTGCAACTCTTGGATGATTGATTTATCTAGTATGTGGATGGCAAAATTACAGAAGTCACAAAACAAATTGGTGAGATTAGTTTTATGATTACAATGTTTTAGTCATATGGAAAATAGACACTTTTGTATGGTTAACTATTAAAAAAAAGATCGGCACTTCTGAATCTAAAAATGGTACATAAAATAATTAATAATTGAGCTCCAGTGTATTTTAATTCTTATTTTTCCCAGGTTAAATTACGACATGGTCATTTTACTAGACAGATCAGTATGGATCTTAATTTATGTAAGGTTAAGGCTTTGTATGGACGTATTCAGGTGCACAGGAGTGGAATAAGTTGCCTTTGGACATTAAGGTTATGCCAGATTATGAGGGTTTTAGTAAAAGTTGTTTTTAGATGGGCTGTCTAAAATTTGACAGATTTGGATTATTGTACTGCTGTGAAGATTGCCTCTGTGGTGTGTGTTTGAGAGTGAAAATTATATGTTTTTTGTAATTAGTATGAAATGTATGCCAAAAAATGCCTGTCGTCACAAAACTTGACCACAATGGAAATAAGTCGTTGCTTTGTGTAATCCTTGACAAAGAAGTGTAATGCAGATGTATTTTAATGTCTAATAAAATTAATTTAAGACCAGAATTGGATTGGCATGTCGCTAAACATTTGAGATCAGACTGCAGCAGTCTGGGATGTTTTGAATTTATAAAACCACCTTAGAATAGACGGGTTGTTCTAATGAACTCAGCATTTGACCATTAATAAACCATTCTGAGATCATCATTGAGCAACAGTTGAATTTATAGTTATCTGAAATCAGATGGCATCATGACCACTAGGGCTGGGTAAAAAATATCGATATCTCGATAATTTTACGGAACGATATCGATTCTTAAATCCCAAGAATCGATTAGTCTAGCCTGTTTTCAGTTAATGGGCGTAACGTTGAAGGGCACTTCCCATCAAATATAGCAATAAGCATTGTGCTTTGGTACTTTTAATATGAAACCGTCTCAGATTTCAAATTCTGTCCATTGTATTGCAGTATTAAAACAATTAATGCCGTTTTGGCGCTGTTTAATGTGGCGTGACAGATCGCTGTAGCGCCTCAGTTCAACAGACGCAGCAGCAACATATTCATTATAAATTGTACTGTTCTTCAAGGTTTAATTTATGTTTGAATAAATCCATCAAGTTTTATGACAGCCACCATTATGTTTATATTTCAAAAAAACGAATTGAAGCTAGAAATATTATGTAATTGTAATTTAATTATTTTAAAAACTTTATTAAGTGTAATTTTAACGAATCAGTCAATTTTAACCTTCAATATTATAGTAATGTAGTACCAACTGACTCTCATGTAGGCTATATTTTACAGCATTAGTTGAGAGATTTTTTCTTTGAGAAAATTTGGCATGTACTGTACATGACATGTATCCAAATTAATTAATCGATATTGAATCGAATCGAAAGCTTGTGAATGAGAATCGAATCGTGAAATTTGTGTCAAAACCCAGCCCTAATGACCACATCAGAAGCAGATATTTATCTGACACCAAATAACATCAGACAGGGATTTCTTAGACTGGATCATGTGCTGAATTTAAACACTCATCTGAGATCAGACAACATTTGTGTCCCGAATGTACAAACTCATTTAAAACCAGACAGAATCTTAATAGCATATTGCTGAATTCATAAACTATTTTGAGATCAGACATCAGGATGTACTGAATTTAGAAACCCATCTGAGAACAGAGAGGACGTACTGAAAACTCATCTTATCAGCATCAAAACAGAGATGAGCTGAATTTATAGAGTCTACTGGAATCAGATTTTTACACTAGGCAGGAACAATAAAAACTGTAATCTTTTTCCCTGTTGATGGTTGAATGAAGACATTCGGCTGCCAAATTCTATGATGAATAAATGAATTATCATGTGCATTATATGACTACCCACCATACTAACACAGGACAGCTAGGTCTTAATAGCCATTGTAATTAATTTATATCCAGTGTTGTAAGTCATCTAAACCAATCACACAGCAATTAGCTAATTGGTTAACCAATGCAGATTTCGGCATCTCCACTTAATTCAAATCAATTCAAGCTCACATTTTTATCATTATTTTTATTTTCTTGAAAAAGAAAAAAAAAAAAAAAGTGAAAAAACT